GCGGAGCCTTATGTGCTTCACTAAACCAATTCCCGGCTTCTGTAACTGAACAGCAGGTCTTCATGGATACGGAGTTGCCCCCGTCTGCTGTTCATTACACTAAGGTCTATAATAAAAAGACAAAGCCTCATGATAGTATAATTCATGGTAAAATTGACGGGGAATGATGCAAGCGCCTCTAAAAGCGGAATTCGCTGGTCACCCGTCCCTCAAACCTCGTGAAATGCTCCCGTACTAGCAATCATCTCAAACAGTCTCTGCTGACAAATTCTTACTTATTACCTCCCCGTGGCGGAGGAGGTTTCTCATCAAAGTTAGATGAAAAGCCAACATCCGGAGCTATAATCGGGTCGGCAAACCACGGACAGTTCACCTGGGGGGGGGGGGGGNCCTCATTCCAAACCAACTAAGAGGCGTACGAACAACACACGCCCACACCTTACTGGTTAAGACTGGTGGACGACTTAGTTGGGCATCGAGGTATATTGAGCACCTTGGACGTTTGAACCGTCCAAAGGGCGTATGATACAATGTACTAGATACCAGCTCCAAATGGATTGCGGTTTACACACATCGCTCAGCTACGTTGCGGGTCAAGCTTTGGGTATTGAAAAACCCTGGTCGTTAATTCCCTAAGAAAATTTACCTGCATGGGCTTGGGTAATGTGGCAGTATTTTGCACGGGAGTAAGTCATCGATCCACTTATTTTATAAAACTACGGTAACCTGGAGGGCCATATACATATATATACCTTCCTCAATTTTCTTATTTTGGTTACAATCACTTTTATGAATTATACTAGGTCAATGGTTTACAGGTTCAGCATAAACAGATTTTCCCTTGACAGTTTTGTAAACGGTGTTGATTGTGCAAACCTTAAGTGAACGTTAGCGAAAAAGTAATGACTGAAACAAATTCACATGAAACTTTTGGTGATATTGAATTTGAAGTATCGAGATATCAACTATGAGTTTTCATTGTGAACAAGGAAACCAAAAATATACAACCAAACTTGTACGACAAAGATTTAGCGGTTGCCAAGCTCTCAATTTCACCATTTCATATAAAGTGAAAAGCCACCACAAACTGAGAATTTTCATGCCGAGTAAAAGGATCAAAAAACAGGAATAGAATAAAAGAAACGCATACAATATCAGATGTTATACATAACTATTATTGACATGGTATTAAATGAGTAACACAATTTCAAGTTGACCGGTAATCTATCACTGAGTACATTGTCTCAAAGAAAAAGACACTAAAATCATCGATTAACTGACTCCACGAGTGAATATAATGAAATTCAACGCACTTGTCTAGTTGATAAGTTGGGCCACCATATTTATGAAGGCATGTAAAATAAGAAGTAAACTCCTCGGCGCAATGCTTTTTAACCTTCCGAAAAAAATTTTGTGCACACGCTGTGACAGCTTTTCCTTCTTTCAGACAGGCACGAGGATCGTGGGTCTCGTATCGACAGAGCATGAACTCCTATGAATGAGTGCAATTGTGGGCGACAAAATACCTTGCTCTGTTCATCACAGAATTTTCCTAAATGTATTCCGGCAGCAAGCAGGGGGACGGCTGTTAGTTTTAGTTCTGGGGTTTCCAGTTCCTCGTAAGTCGGTAGTGGAACATCCAACGAAACCATCCTGAACGCCTGGGACGTACCGCAGTCAAGGCCAGGACAGGTCAGGTCAGGTTAGGGCAGGTCAGGTTGCACAGGACTGAATATGGCCGCAGTCAATCGAACGTCCAGAATTCCTTCGATGGTATGCTCACAACGTGGGCACCCAGCACTGCTGAAATA